CAGGAGACGGCTTCAGAGTTGTTGTCACCAATCGCAGATCTCCAATTTGCAGGTTGCACAGGAAGGAGAATCTGTCTGGCCGTCTTAATACTGTAGATTTAGCGCACTTAGAGCTTCTGGTCATCCCGGCCAGCACTGAAATTAACCCTGTATGCATAAGGCTGGCCAGACCGCAGTAGAATTTTGTTCCAAAAATATTCGCTTCCGGAACATTCGTTTGAATTTCTAGGTAATGGGGGCAAATCAGCAATCGTTATCAAATATATTGAGGAGATAAATCGAAGGCCCAGGTAGGAATTTTTTTTTAATTGTTATTTAGGGATGAGCTCAGGTTTGGACTGAACCCACTTCTCGAAACATGGAGGGAGCTTCGTTGGACATGGAAGGAAGCTTCTTCCGCTGCCACCAAATCAGCTGCGACCAGGGAGAGCCCTGTCTGCAGCTGCAGGTAAGCAAAAGGGCAGGATGACAACATTGACCTTATATTTCCACATGGCCATACAGTATGCGGTCAGTGACATTGATCTAATGTAGCTGTGTGGCCGCATAAGGTCAATTACAGGGCGGGGAAGCAGCGGGGGCACTAGGTTTGGTGTCATCCGATGTGTGGCCGCCATGCATGTGCTATGATGTCCACTGTGTGATGTCATCACGCATATGCATTGATAAGAGAAGGGAATATTGACCCAGCAGGATCAGGTATGCCAATGCCACAGGGCCCACCCTCTCCTGTTGTTGTCAGGCTCTCAGTCAATGACTGAGTGCCGGAACTTAGGGGATGACACTATAATGACTGTCAGTCATTTTGGTGTCACCCCCTCTGATGGTATCACCCAGTGCGGGCTGCGCTCCCCTTGTGACGCCACTACAGAGAATGTCCTAGCCCACATTGGGTAAGCCAATGGCACTTCTGTGTTCAGGAAGGTTAAAGTAGCGGGTCTGGACGAAAAATGTAAAGGGCTTTTGAACTAAACGAGTTGGCTCAATGATGACATCATCTACTGCTGTGACAAATGATTTTTCAGAGCTTCGTATGAAACATTCTAACCAAATTCTAACCATGTGTGGCCATTTCAGTGCAGGCTGCCTCATAAAAGCCCCATAGCGTGTGCTCAGCTAAATGCTGACAATGGTTTGTAGTTCAGTAAAAACCCCACGGTTTAAAAAAAGGTTTTATAAGGATTATAAAGTACTTACGTACACACGTATTGACAGCAATGTCATAAAATATTGTGATGTCATTATGATTGCTACAACTTGTGTACTGTGTGGGTGGAAGGGGTTGAATGGCTTTATATTTCACCCAGGCTCTGAGATGCTGAAGAAGACTGGGGACTGGGGGATTCTACACAGGACATAGCGGATAGTTGGAAATTAATGTTACAAGTGAATTCCGTGCACTGATTCTCCGCCTCTTCTCTTCTCTGACCACCTCTGTCTGGTCCCTAGCTAATGGTGACTATCCGGCTGTCTGTCCTTGATTTACCTTAAAGGAGAACTATGGGGTCAGGGTTTTTCCCCATAGTTCTCCTTAGGGTAACGGGAGGACACAAACTAGCGTCCTCCCGTCACCCAAAGCTCAGTATATAGAGAGCTACAGCTCGCTGTATACTGAGAAGTCGAAGCTGAAGCGGATCCCGACAATTATGTATGGATCCGCCCAGCTGCGTGAGTGACAGCTGGCTCTGCCTATCTAGAGGCAGAGCCAGCTGTACCCGCCCCCTCCCCCGTCCGTTCTGCCAGTCAGCGCTGGCGGAGCGGAGAGGGGGGAATCCAGCCCCTCCCCTGTCACGGCAGAGAGCCATGACAGGATCGAGAGGTGAGCGAGCGCCGGTATGTGTTCGCTCACCTCCCGATCTACTGAGCCGACCTGTGACAGTCTCATTGTCACAGGTCGGCTAGAACTATGAGGTGAGTGAAAAGCACCCCCCTCATAGTTCTCCTTTAAGATCAATGACTATATTATTATTATGATTATAAAATAACAATAATTAGGGATGTCCCGATCCCATTTTTTCAAGACCAAGTACACGGACTTTCCCTCAGGTACTCGCCAATACCAATCACCAATACTTTTTGTTAAAGGGACATGTGACATATTTTCTAAAACAATAGAGACTAATGATTTTAGGGTGCTTTCTCACCAGGCTACACACAATAGACATGTAAGCTGCGGAAAAATTCGGTTCGGATATTTCGTTATTTCGGGATTCGGATCTGAAATTCCATTCGGTTTGGGTTTTGGATTGGGACGAAATTTGAATTTTCATTAGTTTCGGATGAGTTTACAAATATTGGTTGCGAATAACACAGAAAACCATATACAGATATTAATACTAAAGCTGAGGCTGCCAGACCCGCATGGCACTCGGGATCCGAATTTCCAAATTGTATTCGGGAGCTCCTGAATGCCATTCGGGTCTGGCAGCCATATACATACATTACTATAGCTGAGGCTGCCAGACCCGAATGGCATTCAGGAGCTCGCGAATGCAATTTGGAAATTCTGATCCCGAATGCCATGCGGGTCTGGGAGCCTCAGCTTTAGTATTATATGTATATACTGTATATGGCTCCCATGTTGCTGTAACGAAAATGAGTGTTCAGACCCATTCGGATGCATTAAACCGAATATCCCATCTGATTGGCCAGAAAAGTCACATGTCCGATTCAGTTTTGTTTTTGAATGAAATTAGGGCGGGATCCGAAATTTGGAAACGGAAATTCGGATTCGAACACATTCGGATGCATTGGGATTCGGAAATTCGGATGTGTCTGAATGTCCGAATTGCGGAAAATTTGTCCCAATTTTGATTCTGAACCAAATGAATCGCACATTTTCTAGCGCACAGATGTCTCCAGGGCTGCGTTTGCGTCTTACCAGGGCGGCGTACAGATGTCACCAGGGCTGCATGTGGAGCTCTGCTGGCGGACGCCGGGCTGAACGATGGGGTGCCGGTCTTCTTCCTTCTCTGGGGCTGTTTGTTAGGTACGGGGCTGTGCTTGACTGTATCTGCACCAGGAAAGAGGAGAAGGAGACATGGGGCCAGACAGACACTGCCAAGGACAGCTACTGCCAGGTCCTTAAACAGGCTGCCGAGGTTCCCACAAGTGGGGGGCCTCGGCGGCCGATCCGTTTAAAAAATTTAAAGGGCCGGTATCAGCCTTACTCCTGTCAAGTACTCCAGACAATACCCAGTATCGGTCCCGATACCAATAGCAGTATCCAGTGGCTTCACAAGGGGGGTGCGGGAGGTGCGGCCCGCACCCGGGTGACACCATTGGAGGGGTGACACCAAAATGACTCACAGTCATTTTGGTGTCTCCCCCCTCTGAAAAGTCGGGCGCCCGGTCATGGACCGAACGCCCGACAGTATCAGGAGAGAGGAGGGGACCCGGCGACATAACTTATCCCGCCAGGTGGCTATCTCCTCCTCTCTCACCAAGATGGCCGCCGGCAGGCATCAGAATACTGCCGCGCATGCGCGGTGACGTCTCGGCGGGGTGGCACTCGGACACCGCTCCGGGTGTCACCCAGCCTCGGGACGCCCCTGCCAGTATCTGTTTCAGGACATCCCTAATAATAATGAGATAATGACAGTAGGGAGGCAAGCAAATTGTGCTATGGGGCCCATGATCTGCAGTTACAGTATGTGCCTTGCTGCAGACCACCAACCAATGAACTCTCCACATTGGACGCTCTAATTTAAAATAATTCCCAGAAATGTCCCCCACGGTCTTCGGCATCTGGAAAGTCACACAGCCCGCCGCCCACTCATATGTAACCATCACCCCCCTTCCCTGCTATGCCAATTAGAAATGGGAATCCAGGGAGCTGATATGACACAACCACGGCATGGAGCCAGTCATAATTATAGGCGCCCCCACTGAGCAGTGGTACCCCTTGCAGCTTCCTAATTAGCCTTCATAGCAGGTGCAAACTCTATGACTGACCCGCCTTGTGTAAAACAATAACTATATGGAGGATTCTGTTACTTTAAAGGGAACCTGTGCTGAGAGAACTAAAGAGGATGACATTTTCCAACCGCCTTCTGCAGCAGCACGGATAGGATTGGAATTCATCTGCCGGCTGCCAGTGCCAGGACTTCAGTACTTTCAGTGTTAGTGACCCGGAGCAAGCATGCGCCCAGTGAAGGCAGACTGAAATCATAACCCCTTATCTTTATTTACTTTTCAAAGGTTTAGAAGTTGCTGAGTCACATCCATTCATAGCATAACCCGTTATCTATATCTACATTTCAAACCGAAGTGGTTGAGTCACATCCATTCTACCTCCACCTTTCTTTTTATGTTTTCTAGCTGCTGCAAAGCGTCGTTAGGTAGAGGGACAACCAAGGACAGGGAGACAACCTTGCAATAGCAGTCATGAATATGCGTTTAACATCTGAGACACAGTTTTCCATGGCTGACTGATAAGGAAGGGCGTAGCAGCCAATGGCCATTCGGATTACTGGCACAAAATCACCATAAGATGAGACCTGATTGGGCGATGTGGCCCGTCGTCCAACCAGCCAATCATAAACCTGTCTGATGCAATTTAAAAGTGTATCTGCAGCCCAACGTTTTTAAGCTTTCAATATAGTGGGCAAAGGCTACAATGTCCGCTCAGCTGTTTAGTATTTTCTGTGGCCCCGTTGGAAAGATTTCCTTAATTTCCTGACCCAGTGACAACGTAAATACCAGGACAGGAAGTGAGGGGGAAATCTCAAAGAAGGACACAATGATTTAAACATCCTCGGAGACGGGAGGCTAGAATGCCTGACAGTTTTTTTTTTTGTAACCCCGTTACAGATTTTCCCTCACTTCCTGTTTGGCTGACACAGCTGTACAGGAAGTAAGGGAAAATCTTTTCAACAAGATATCGGTCAGCGATAAAAAAGCTTCTTATTTTTCTCTACACTAAAACTAAAAACCGCTTTTGGCTCCAAAAGATAAAAAGATAAAAGAGTAATATCTGTTATCTGATATCAAAGTAAAACCCTTTGCCCATAGCAACCAGATTCCCGTATAATTTTTTCTTTTTTCAGGATCTGGTTGCTATGGGCAACAGGTTTTACTTTCATTACAGATATTACTCTTTTATATATCAGTATACTGTATATATTCTTTTTTTTTAGTCCCGGCACTTGCTGATCTATGACAAAATATTCTCTAATATATAAAAACGAATGAAAAAATAATATTTTGTATCAAAAATTTTAATAAAATAAGTTAACATTTCAAATTACGTTTGTTTTCAGAAATTACTGGTCTTGGCAATATATATATATATATATTAGGAAGGATAGCCATGGTAATAAATACAAATATATAAAGTACTATGGAATAAATTATCCGGGTTCAGTCCGGTTATCGTATTGCGTATTGCTTCTCCGCGGATAAATAAATAACACTAATCGCAAGGATTATCCATCTTCTCATGTTCATCGATTGTCAGCTCCTTCGACGAAAACTCCCGTGCGTGGAGCTCCAACAATACTCATTCAACTTGCTTTGTCCTTGTAAAGGCAGTCACTTCCTGTCTCATGAGCCTCTCCCGGCAAGCCGCTTGCATTTGGTCCATAAATCATGGGCCCTAGAAAAGGAGAGAAAAAAAACCAAAATGATTTAATTTTTAAATTTTTAAATTAAAGTTGCTCTGAAAATTTCAAATTCATTAATATTTAAAATTCTAAACAGATGTATAAAATGGGTCCTGTAACCAGCAAACACGCTTTTCATTATTTATTCCCCACAGAAATAGAATTTATTTATTATTTATTTCCTTTATAGATTTTATTCTTGTCTCTACCAAACTGTTTCAGGTCAATTGTTCAACAATTAACAAATTAACAATTAAAACTTTTTTGTTTGTTTGTTTTTTAATTAAAAAATGTTAGAGCAAAAAAATTGCCCTGTTTTTTTTAAAACTAAAACCAAGTCTATTATTTTTATTGACAGGGTTATTCACAAAAAGGGTGAAGGGTTTGGAGAAGGCAGGAGAAGTGAACAATCTAGGACAACATAAAGTGAGCTGAATTGGAGAAGTTTTTCCAAATCAGCTATTTTTCAAACAAAAATTCCAATTTTTTTCCAAATCAGCTCCTAGATTGTTCACTTTTCCAACTCTTCACCCATTTTGTGAAAAACCCTGTCAGTGTTAAATGTTTAAAAGGCACTT